GGGGGGGGGGGGAAGTGCACGCGCGCGGATCTATTATCCACACGCTCGGTATTTTTAAATAAACTTGTTTAATGTCAAAAATCAATTTTATCGCTAGTTTTTACATTATTATGTACGTTGTGTGTATATTTTACAAGAAAAAAACATTTTAAAAAGCTGCGGCATTATGACTTAAAAAGTTGACGATAGAGTGAGATTTACTCACTTAAATATATACGTAGCAAGTAAACATAAAAGGAGTAAGAGATAAAGAATTATTGTTTCTATACTTAAGTGCGCGAGTATATGTAACTTCCGAGTCAAACTCGGAGGTAAAAAATGTGAATTATATTATTGAAAGAAATCATATACGAATATATTGGACAGCGATCGTTTTTGCATCAAGTAATAATATGAAGATTAAAAAAAAAATAAAAAAAATAAATAAAAAAAATAAAAAAAACAAACGAATATTATTATCAAATAATTACATGGCGTGCAATTATTGAAGCGCTGCTTTGAGGGACAGTCTCTATATATTGTATAATCGAACAAGGCTTTAGTTAGCGTGTAATGAAGGTTTAAGGTTTTGCGATGAAGAAAACTTGCATTTCATTCCGATTGTAAATGACATAATTTATCAAAGCGAGTCTTGTCGTTAACGAAAAAATAAAAAATGTGCATGTAAAGAATGAAGTTGTAAATGATGCTTCCACGTATCTTACTATTCAGCGATTATCACCTCACGAGAAAAGCGACTCTTTTTTTTTGTTTTTTTATTTAACTTGTAATCGATAAATGGATCTATTACAATCATAAAGAAAAATCACGATGAATATCAAAGCAACGATCAAAATACGCTTGTAAAATGCATATTATAATCCATCGAGTACTATATTTTGTTACATTTATTATAGTTATTAAACATTATGAATACAAAAGAGCGAAAGCTTGAGAAGAACTATGTAATGTGAACATTGTTATTTTTATACGTATAGGTAAAAAATAAAAATGATAAACAGAGCGCGCGTGAATGAACAAAGTATGGGAGTAGTTTAAGGAGTTATATAATTTATGAATGAAAATTTGTATGCGTTTATCCATGACAACAGTACGATTGCTATATATGAAATGTGTTAAATCTCTTTGTAAGCCAGCCATTTCTTTTTTTCTTATCGCTATAATTATTATCAGTTACTTTTTTATGTAAATGGCAAGATATCCTCGCGCCACGAGGAAAAATGTATATTTGTCTCTTGAATGTTTTTCTTTATTGTTTCGTACTTTTATGCGCGAAAGAAAAAACTAAAGAGAAAAAAAAATTATGTAAATTAATTGATTGTTATATCGTATTCTATACCGATCTCGTGCAGGATTTACAATAGATCCAACTTTAATTTTGGCTTTTATCGTCCGTGTCTCATCATATTAGCATAAAAAATTGAATTTCGAAAATTGTACTGTATATCGAACTGTGGAAGAAGACAAAAAGTGAGGTGCGTCGATCAACGACTCGAAAGGGGTCGCGTAGGCAGTAAAAGCTGAAAATTAAAAAGAAAAAAAAAAATACAACAATCATGACGATTCTGCGGCGTAAATCGTATTTTTTTATAACGTTACTATTTTCGTGCAGTTCCTCGTGGTTTTCATGCGAGGCCTGCTCCGTTGACCATTTTCCGAGTACACGCACGATCGGCGTTCTCCCGTACTTCACATTACGTATATACACCAGCTAACAACCTCCAAACCACCACCACCGAAATTAATCGTCCTCGTCCTTTTTCTTTCCCTGATCCATTGCTCCCCTTGACTTTAGATGTACACCCATAGGCAGCGCATCCCTTACATATAGTACGATGATAGAGTTGCGCGTAGTCGACCGATCATTGTTGGCAGAAGCGTGCGAGGAGGAGAGGTTTTTTTTTTTTTTTTAATGTAAGAAAATTTTTTGTCAAATGTTACGTCGCGACATCTTGCCATCGTGAGATTGTGCCAGAGGTGATATTATATTATTACAATGTTTATTGAAACAATAAATATTATATTAGTACGTTTTATAAAATACCAATGGTTTTTCGCTTCATTTTATCCCTTCATGAAAAAAAAAAAAAAAAAAAACAGGAAAAAACCAGAGATCCTTAAAACGACTTCCTCGAGTAACGAAGCTCATTTTTCTCTGGTTGAAAATACATTGCGCCATCCCGGAGCTTTTAAGTGCTTGTTTAAATCATTCATTACCCGCTTGATTAGTAATCAAGTCCCTGCTCTCCCCCTTTACGCGACGTCGTTAAATAAGAAAAATGAACCGACATTACCGATCCTTAAAACGCTGCTGTACGTCAAGCCAGAAAAAGGAGGGCTTTAATAGAGGCAACAACAATTATCGCCACTTGTCAGCCCGTCGTGATCCCGAAGCGTATATCTCATTCGAGAAAAACAAATTAATAACAGCAGAAAGTTGGCGCGGATGCACCCGCCGAGAAATTGCCGCTGCCGATTTTCCATTAGCTCGCGCGCGCGGTAGGATCGGAGGCATAAAATGAGCCGCAGAGCCACGTACACCCGAGCGTTTCTCGCTCGATCTCTGCGCGCCAGGAGACACGTACAAACAAACAAAAAAAAAGAGCGCACAATCCAGCCGACGCATCTCGTGCGTATTTATTTTTTTTTGTTCGCTGCTACCGATACGCGCGGAACCAGTTCCGAGGATTCCCTGCTGTTCTCTCGTTCGTTCCAGGCTCGAGTGGACGGGGGGGGGGGGAAGTGCACGCGCGCGGATCTATTATCCACACGCTCGGTGTGTGTGTATATATACTCTGTCCGTCGGTGTGCCGGACGGACGGACCGAGGGAGCGGAATCGACGGCAATTCGAGGAGCTTTTAATTGCACACACTCCGGGGAGAGAATATTCTGCGTTTTGAGCGAGGTGCTTATTTTCGCGTCGCGCTGGCCTTTTTTTTTTTTTTCTTCTCGTCCAAGGAGCTTCGAGGAGGGGAGACGTTTTAACGTTGATTGCGCGCAAAAGCAGAGATAACAACGACTATTACGTCCCGCTGCTGGGGCTCTTACACGCAAAAATAACAGTACCTTTAATTACGGTATCTCCTCGGACGGGGTGGATTATGCCGGGGGAATGCTAATTTGTACCATCTTTCGGTCCTCTCGGTATTTGTAACGCCAAGTGTGTTATTTTTCATATTACGCTTAATGCGTGGTGTTTTGTATCTTTTTGCAAAGGAAAAAAAAAAAAAAAGTTATCAACTTTCGACTAAAAAGCTTTTTTATCGCGTGAGAAATGAGCCGTTGATGAAAAATGAGGATCGTTTTTTTTTTTTTTTTTTTTGACAGAAATATTTTTTCATTTTTAGAGAGTATCACTGGCTAAATGATTTTTTTTTTCATACAACTAGTGAAGTTAATTTACATACATTACAATAGACAATAACATTTTGGGATGTTTGTTCTTGAAGTTATACAAAAAAAAAGTTATGAAAAAAAGCCATTACTTTATACATAATGAAATCGAGGGTCAAAGGAGCAGAAATTCGCCGATCGATCGGATGAAACATCGGTATAACAATGCAACCCAATGAGTACAAGTATATATTGTAATTTTCACAACGTGATTCACGGGTACGGCCCCGCGTTGTACATATAATATGGTGCCGCATTGAAATTCATCATACGTCCCGCGTGGCACGTTGACCTCCTTTGACGTGGAATTCCTCCTTCCTCCAGAGCTCTAGATTTGACGGGTTCCCTTTTTTTTTCTTCGTAATCATCGCTAAGAATAATTTTAGGAATTAAATCAGTTTTTAAAGCCACGGTAAATATTGCGTTTACGCACCGGTGAAATGTACATTTCATCATTTTCACTTGGCTCTGTTGGGCCCTGCGACGAGTGAGTGTAGGTGTTTATTTTTTAAGAGTAAAAAATATGGTTGGCATAAAATTTTTATCTCCAAGTAGAAATGAAATAAAAACAAACACGAACCGAAATCGAGTTCTCAGATTTGCCTCCACCGAAATTCCATTCGAAGTTATTCTCGTCACAAAAAATCGGCAAAAAAACCAATCCCTTCGGACAGCTCAAATCCCATGTCGAGATACCGATTTCCGCTGGTCTGCATCTTTTTTTCCCTTCTATTGCAATCCCATCTCCTTGTCGAGCTTCTTTGAGCTCCTCCAGCGGAAACGACAACAGCTGTATATTATGTGCATAAAAGCGAAAGCCAATCCGCTGATATCGCGCGTATAAAAGTGCAGGCGAACGCGGAGAGGCGAAAAATGAATACGAGGCGAGCGATTAATCGGAGGTAGAATAAGAAGACATCGGAGAGTCTTATTTATCACAGCATTTGCATTTCGACCGAGAGATGAGACTCGGAATAAAGAGCCGCTGAATCCAACAACATCCACTTGTACCCTCTATACTGCAGTACAATTGGGTGCACGAATTGCCCTGTATTAGGTATGGACACATCAAGCGTTTTTTTTTTTTTTTTTTTTTTATGGTAAATTTTGGTTTTTTCTCACGAATTCGTAAACCAAATAAATAGTATACCGAATGATGCTCTTATACACTTGCTTGACTATGTCGATTATCCGAGTTTTGGTTCACCTCTTCCTTTTTTTACATGTATAAGCGGCGCGGGTGTTGGGTTGCACCTTTTGTTCGCACAGGTAGTTGTACAATGAAAAATTGTTTTATCAAAACAAAAGCGACGGCGTCGATTCAGCGTCGTAAAATAAATCGGCATTTAAACCAAGCGATGGCCATTGAACCGCTGTATTTATATATAAAAAAAAAAAAAAAAAAAAACCGTTCACGTATACATTTTTGCAAATCTCACTACTATGCCGACCAATGGTCTTTTTGATCGGTGATCAAAATCCCGAATCTTACGTAAGCACGGGTGTATTATTCGAGCGATATAGTTTCAAAGAGCAGAATAGGCGGAGGTCTACGTACGGACGATGATTTACTTTTTTTTCTGTTTCGTTTTTTTTTTTTTTTTTTTTTTTCAACTTCCCCGAACAACTCCTTGACACGCTGCTATTATCCACAAAGAGACACGCGGGTAGGAGTAAGCGCGCAAGGAGCTCTTTCAAGAGGGCCTCGACCAAAAAAGTGGGCTTTACCGTTTGAACCGGTGCGATGTATGGTTCGACGCGCCACTATTATTTCCACATCTCCTTCTCTCGTTGAACAATCATATTTCTTTTGTACGTGCGTTATTTCACTCATTTTTTTTTTTTTTTTTTTGACCTTCCGCGTACATTGTAATAATTACACGTGTCCCTTTGTGTTGTACACCTGCGAGCGCGTCTCCCGTGAATCACACACGCGTCGGGTGTCACTGAACCTGATGCTGTACCTTTGACGCGCAGGTACATACTTACATGGAAGTGTCGTGGAACACTTTTCGATCGACGCGATCTCATCTGTATTTTTTCAACCCTAAGTATCTGTACTCTGTGGCGAAGGACTCTAATCGAACATCTCGATGACGTTGCTGTTTTTTGTTCGACACCTACTTTGTACATCCTTTTCGATACTGGATACGACGGTACACGTCTCGAAACGTCAGTTTGATCTTGAGTCATAGCAAGGGGATTTTTCACTTCTTAATATTTCATCGAAAAATTTTGGATAGGCATATTAATACAGAAGAAAAACAATATCCGAGTAATTATTGTTGATTGTCAGCATTATTACTTCATTTATAAAATATCACAAGAATCAACGTTCCATTGCGATTTTCTTTTTCTTCGAGTGGCGAATCGAGGCGATCCCCAAATTTATGTACGAAAAAGAAAAAAATCGCTCTTTTGCGATGGCTACAAAATTAGACCCAGCGGTTGAATGTCGAATCTCCAACTTTGGGGATCGTTAAGCGAATAAATAAGCGCTTTGAGCGAAGAAAAGAGGAAGGAATGAAAAAAAAGCGCCTCTTCCGCGCAAATAAACAAATGTTTGGAATTTTCGTGAAAAAGTACAGAGTCCGGTTTGGCGGGTCGACAAAATTTCGTTTTTATCGATCACCCTCTCTATTTGGCATGAAAAGAAAAAAAAAAATGGCAGAGCCCCCTCTGATAATAGGCCTCGAAAACACCACACTGCCAGATAGGAGGGGCTTCATGTCATCCTCCGTGAAAGTTGTTTTGTTTTTTATTCTTACTTTTTAAAAACGCGAACGAATAAAATTTAGTTTTGATCGTGAAATTTTTCCTCCTTCGCGAATAATAGACCCGATCCAACCGGCAATATTTATACCATTCACGACGCAAGAGAGAGAGAGAGACGTGGTAAATCACCCGAGAAATCGGTATTGGAAGGCGCAGTAGAGCAAGGTTGTACAGGTCAGACATTTCCTGCGACACGAATGTATGGACCATAGTTTTGGCCGAATTTTAAATAATGACGACGACTCGTAAGATCACCGAGACATTGGAAAAGTACTTTTGAAACTCCGGTTTAGAAAAAAACTCACCCGCAGCTCCAAAGAAAGGGGATCGATCGAGCTCAGAGTCTCGCGCAAAGAAAGCTTCGATAATGGCCGATCGGTGCATCTTCATTACACGCACACGCACAGGGTATAAGTACACCATACAAGCATTACGTCGGTCGTCGACCAGCTGGAGAGTAGCCGATGTTTACGTCAGAGGCACGGCGCGAAAACCATGACAGCTGCATAAATATATCCTCGGGTGTATACCTCGCGCGGGGGGTGAGCAGGAGGAAGAAGAGGGAGGAGAGAGTCATTATCCCCTGCTGCACCACACGCTAGTCCCACGGTAAAGTTCACGGCCACAGCCTCCGTGGCTGCCATACACGTTCAAGGCCACTGCGTGTGTGTACACATACCTATATATATATATATGTAAGAGTGAGGTACTCTCTGTACTTATACTTGAGTATGTATGTATATTATATCTGTATACACACGCACCTCGTTGGCTCGGCTTCTTTTCTCGCGCTCCAAGTTAATGCCCTCCCTCGAAGACGTTTTTGTTCTCGAAGGATTTCAAAACTCGACGTCAAATGATTCTATTCCAAAGGTATACAAGAGGGGGTGGATTTTTTTTTTTTTTTTTTTTTTTTTTTTTTTTTTTTTTTTTTT